ATATTTTAATGGAATCCCAGATGTATTAAACCAGCTTCTTTGTTCCTAGAAGATGTGAATTACAATATGTACGAATTTTTCCAAACAAAAACTAAATTCACAGTTAAAATATTGTTTGAGAAATCGTACACATGCTCCTTTAAATTTTCTCATCACTACAATCAAAAACGATCATCGATTTGACCCAAATAACCATTAGAAAATTAATAAAACGTTCTGGAAACAATTTTCTACTGGAATTCTAATGGAAAATGGCCAGCTGAAGGAAGGATCTATAACTCTTTCTTCCCCAACAGGTTCACTTTAAGTCAGGATAGATACAGACATAAAATAATAAGTGTTTGGATTTCGTACATTGTGTAATTTATTTTTTTGCAGCCCTCCTGGCTTCCGAAAGTGAGACAAAATTGTTAGTGGGTTTTATTTAGAGATCTGAAGAGCTCTGCCATCAGAAAGTGTAGAATAAAAACTTTGTGTTTAGACTCGCTGTCTTCTTCAACTTATATAAAAGTTAGTTCCAGCTAATAAATTCAAGTGAACAACCTCTGCTCCAAGAGGCCAACATGTGCTTCACTTTGTAACTAGTTACTGTTGTCAAATTTTTATTTCATATACTATAGAATATATCTGGATATGTTGCAGTGTGTCATTGGATTCATATAACAGGATGAGATTTAGTGTGGATGTAGCTTGAATGGGAGCCTGAAGGTCCCAATGAGGTTACTATAATGTTGTCTATACACTAGTAGATTTTGGAAGAACCTTCGTACAAAAATGATTTGTACATTCAACGGCTGAACAGATGTTGTTTGAAAATACTTCAAGTTGCTTTTAACATTTGATTTTTGGAATATACTTTGAAATTAGATTATTGGAATGAAGGAATCTCCCAAACAATAACCACATTCACTGTTAGAAATTTGAAAATTCGAGAAAAACTTTCCATTCTGATTCTTTGAGTTTTCTCAGTACTGCAGTTTAAAAAATGTCAATTCGACCCCACTAACAATTAGTAAATGAAACAAACATTCTTAAAATAATTTTTTTCAAACAAAATCCAACTATTGTAAGCCATTCTTAGGCTTCATGTACACTGGCAGCTCCTAAACTTGAGCTTAGGAGCTTTTAGCATTTTTTTGACAAAGCTACTAAACTCAGCTCCATAAAAGCCTATGGGGTTGATTTACTAAAGGCAAATAGACTGTGCACCATACAAGGTGCAGTTGCAAGGAATATGCAGTCATGTGCAAGGAAAATTGAAAAAAAGCAGTTTTGCTTGCACATGATTGGATAATGGAAGTTAGCAGAGCTTCTGCTCATTTATTAAGCTCTGGAGCAACTGCACTTTGCAAAATGCACAGTCTATTTGCCTTTAGTAAATCAACCCCTATGTCTCCATGTGCGCATAAGCTTTTAACAGAGTTTAGAAGTTGCCACGTTTAAGTGAGGTTAAACCGGCATCTCCTGAACGTGGAAGAATCTCATTCAGGATAGGAATGTTTTGATGGCCAGCAGTGAGAAAATGCAAAACGCGGCAAAAACACTGGTACTGCATTCTGCAGTTAGGGTAGGCTAGTGTACATGAAGCCTAAAGTGGAATTTAAATGTATCTGAGAACAACAAACTCAAAATTATTATCTCATTCATTTTTAATATTCAAAGCAAACTCACCATCATCCATCCATGTCTCTATAATTTATTTTGTTGAGAAATCACATTGAAAAACACCCCCTAGCACAGGGGTATCCAACCCATGCCCACGGCTATGAATGTGACCCAAGACAAAGTCATAAACTCAATTAAAAATGTTGATTTTTAAAAAAATGTTTTGTAAAAATGTGTTTGCACTTAGTGAACATTTGCAGTCGAAGAAAAGTTTGACAGTGTCTCTTTAGTGGACTGTTATAAGTTTTATCTTCCCACTTTTCATAATCATGCCTTATTCATGTCATTGGTTTTCAGCAGCCACTATATTTGTGAACAATTATTTTCAAGGATGATTTACAGGAAGGGCAAAATTAGGATCAAAATATCTGATGAGTGTTAGTGTCAAATATCTCATTAGTTTTGTGTTGCCCTCTTTTACTTATATTAGTATAAATTATATTATATTATATTATTATAAAGAAATACTACAAAAAATGAAGTTTTATTACTCAGATAGGTACATTATCTATATCAGTGATCGTTAACTTGTGATCTGCCTGAATTTTTCTGTTCATCAGCTATCCTTATTGTTAATGTATTTTATGTTTGACCCAAGACAATTCCTCTTCTTCCAATGTGGCCCAGGAAAGTCAAAAGGTTGGACACTCCTGCCCTAGCTTTTATGGCCGTGGCCATCTTGAGTAAGGGCAGATGATTCATGCAGCACTTACTTTCAGGAATCCATCTGCCCCTATCTCAGGCATGAAGGCTGGAGGGTGGGCTTAGCTGAGAAGCCCCTCCGTCACTCCTCCAGATGAAGGAAAAAAAAACCTCCCTAGCATTTCTGACCATGACCATCTTGAGAAAGGGCAGATGATTCATGTAGAATTGAATTCCTAGAATTCTTCTGCCCATAGTTCAGGCATGCAGGCAGGAGGGTGTGCTTAGCTGAGAAAGCATCACCTCCCCTCCAGAAGACTCCTGGGATGCATGGCATCATTTGCCTAAGCAAGAAACCAGCAAGTACCTGAAGGAAGGTAAAACAAATAGTTTAAAACAAGTAAATATAATATACCTTCCTATGTATTTCCAAATGCTAGCAACATAAGGATTAAAAATAGTCAATGTTGATTGTGAGAATGAAGTTCCGCTTTACATATAGTTCATGTTGATTGAGAGTTTAGTTCTACATTAAGGGGCATCCCCTATAAGCCTAGTCCGTTTACATGTGTTCAGATGTGTGCTCAGCTTCAGGCTGCTCCATGTAAAGCTTTGATCTTTTATCTGTATGTATAAATGAAGCAATAACATATGTAAACTATGAAGGTTCAACATCTACTTAAATATTTTGATGATTATACTTAATGAAGGGTCAGATTCAACCTAAATTGATCTTTTGGTATTTGATTGGTAGTTTTAAATCTGCTGTTTTCATTATAATACATATTAGATCACTCATTCCTGTGTCCCAGCTGTGCGCATGTGTTGTCATCCTGTCTTATGGCTTCTAATGAAGACTACATGTGCCCGCTTCATCATGCAATGAACAGGCCTGGACCACTGATGACTAGCCTTCAGAAAACTTGCCTTGAGAAACGCCATTCAACCAATGCCGGGGTGCATGTAGACAAGAAGTGGCTGCAGACAGGTAGCAAAAAGATCAGCAGCACTAAGGCCCCTTTCAGACGGGGGGGGGGGGGGGGACCCATCAGCAGATCTGCCTGCTCAGTGGGGGATCTCTCAGCTGATCCCCACTGAGCAGGCGGATGACAAGTCTGTGTCCACTCTGCTGCTGCAGAGCAGACACAAATACAGACCACTGTCTTCTATGCGGCGGTCGGATGGAAATGGACCGCTTGTCCATTTCCATCTGACTGCCATCCTATCCGATGTACCAGACGGATGTGGAACGGATCCCCATCTGTCTGTTTTTGGCGTACAGGATCGAATCGAATGCCGGTGGGTCCGCTGACACCTGCTGGTTCATAGAGACCTATGGATGGTCCATATCGGGTCTGCCTGAAAAACTGACAGGCGGGCCCCATCAGACCGTCAGTGTGAAAGGGGCCTAATACTAACAGCACTGATTTATTTTGCAATTTAAATGTTATCCAAGCAGGAATTACGTCTACTTTAACACAGTTCCAATACTTCCTGGGATGTATTAGCTATTATATGAAATATTGTCAATTGTACCGAGAAGGCATTTTAGCCATACGGATCTACGTAATAAGCTGTCATTGTTATTTTGTTCCCATCCCATAGTGTCTGTCCTTGTACAAGCACAGCAAGTGATGGAGATGAATCTATACATCCTCCTATACAGACACTGACATGGACAATGGAGTGTTTGTCATTTGCTGTCATTGCTAATGAATGAGCCTACTTCTTTCCTGTTGAATGTTCCCCCTGACAGCTCGACACTGAGCAGCCTCTGCCTGGGACAATACGAAGCCCTGTGACAGAGACAGCCCCTGGTAATTATTATCATTACTGGCTGCATGGTCAATATCAGCCGTCACACCTCACTCAGTGGGGAGGCGGCAGGCACTCAGGTTCATAACTAACTTGGTAAATCTAGGAAAGTCTAAAATCAAATAGTTACATCAAGGGATGTTGGTCGCCTTGATCAAGTTACCATACTGGTTCTACAAGTACAGTCAGGCTGACCTTCAAAGAACTGTGAAATATCTGTCTTTTTTAAAGCTGAATTAACCTTTTGTACCTATATATAGTAAACCAAAGTGACGGATGATGAATGTCTTGTCATCTCAATGGAAGAATGCTCTATTGCCGCTTATCCATCCTGTGCCCTAGTGCTAGTCTGCAACATAAGACCACTGTTGTCACTCTGGTCTCATTGCAGTGACATGCCCCCTGCTGAGTCAGACCAATAACTCTGCAATCAACAATGCTCATGCCTTCTGCTGATGGGAGAGCTCTATCTCTAATTCCTCAGGGGGCATGTCTGACCTCAGCAGAGAGACCACTGCTTCCACATAGACAGCAAGGACCCTCCTCTATAGCATACTAGCAGGATACAGGTTTTTCTACTCAGACTGTGGCTGCTTTCTAAGCTAAAGGAACTGTAAGGCAAGCCATACATTATGCAATTTTCATTCCTTCAATTACAGGTTGAAGAAAAGAAAATTGATTGATTCCCCCATCAACACTGACTGTGTTGATGGGGGAATCAAGCAATTTTCTTTTCTTAACCTCCCTGGCGGTATTCCCGAGTGTAGCTCAGGGTTAACTTTCAGCACCAAAAGCGGTAACCCCGAGCTACACTCGGGAATACCCTGCAGCGTTGCTCCGGGATCCCTTCTTCATTTACCTTGTCCTGCGCTCCCGCGATGTCCCCCCTGCAGCATCCCCGGCAATGTCCTCCGGCCGATGCCGGCATCCGTCTTCCGAGTTCCGTTCCCTGCGAGCGTCGGGACATACGGAGGACGGAACGGCGGGAGATTCAAAAATGTTAAAAAGAGACATTCACTAAATACACTAAAATCACACAGTAAAACATTACTGCATCAAACCATTTCACATACATTTTGTCACTAATGCTTTGTCCTGTGCCCTGCCTGCATTTTTACTGTTCTTTCTGCCTGGAAACTGAGAAACGTCCATGGCGTCCAAAAAGCGTCCCTTTAGGTCAAAAGCGGTTTTAGACCGGCTAGAGAACAGCGATAGTAAATCAGAACCACTTGCAGAATTGAGTGATAATGATTCGTGGGGAAATTCGTCATCAGACACTGAAAACAATTTTGCGACTTTGCTCAGTGATACGAACTTGGTGCTCTATTTCAAATTTCAGTGTTTTTGGTTTGACTATATTATTGAATTAAATTTATTATTATATTATTGTTTTTTCTGATTATTTATTATATTATAATTTATGATTTCGTGTTTGAAATGTTATCATACCCGGGAAGTTTACTAGACTCTTGTTCGGGCAGATTTCAGTGAGTTATTTCTAAACATTCCTAAAAAACAACATATTTTCATGCAAAAAAAATTTACCGCTTTGAGCATGTAAATATTGACATAATCAGACCACAAGGGAGGTTAAATCCCTCTTGCAGTGCTATTTATGTTCTGCCCTTGGGGAGCACAGGGAGCCTTCCTTACTGGCAGAATACAATGGTCACTTTGGTGGCTATAGCCACCTACAGTGATCTGGCGGAAAAAACCTGACAGGCTGGTTGTAGTGAAGTCGATTGACTTAGTGAAGGATTGACTTCAGTACAACCAGTTTGCCCACAGATGTATTGAAATTCAGCCGGTGACTGCAGAACCAGCTGAATTTCGATTTGTCCATGGCCAACTTAAGACTTCGAACATCTTTTATTTTGATTAATCTTTTAATACTTTCCATCAACTATACTGAAAGTTACACCACTCCCCTTTCTTAACAGATATTTGACAAAAAGAATTGGTTTAAAACAGCGCATGACTTGCTTGGGTAGAGAACCCAATAACAGAACTGTAGCTATGAATGATTCTCCAGAAATCATTTTTAATCACAAAATTTTGCTTTACATGGTATTTTGTTGTAATTAGTCTTAACATTTTGCCATGTGGCTTGCTTAGGCAATATTGCTCATTTGTCCTAATTTATGACTTGCAGGTGTACCTCCGTTTATGAATTTAATTCATTCTGCGGGACTTTTCGTATTGTGAAAAATTTGTAAACCGAAACGCGGTTTCCCATAGAAATGCATTGAAAACCAATTAATCTTTTCCAGAGGTCAGAAAAAAGTTAAAAAAAGTCTTTTATCTGTTCAAAACTCTTTATAAAGTGCACTTTAAAGGCACATGATTTAAAAATTTCCAAATGCATTGAAAACCAATTAATCCATTCCAGAGGTCAGAAAAAAGTCAAAAAAAGTTTTATCTGTTCAAAACTCTTTATAAAGTGCACTTTAAAAGCATAAAGGGACATGATTAAAAAAAAAAATTCGTAAATGCATTGAAAACCAATTAATCCCTGTTCATATTGTGAAAAAAAATTGTAAACCGAGGCATTATTTTCAATGGATTTTCATTCGGAAACTGAAAATTACGTTAACCGAGGCGTTCGTAAACTGAGGTAAGCCTGTATATTTGTTGGCGAACAAACTACTCTAGGAATTCTAGTTGAGGGGCTGTTTTTTTGGCCATTTTGTTTGGCAAATGAACAGGTCCAGAACAGGGACAGACTGACAACTCATGGGGCCCTCGGGCAATAGGGGATCATGGGGCCCCTGTGTCCTTGCCCAAACTCAAAAAAGCCTATGAAAAAGGTACCAGGGGCATCTCATGGGGCCCCCTACTGACCCCGGGTCCTCGGTCAGTGCCTGAGTTTCCAAATGGTCAGTCCGCCCCTGGTCCAGAATAGCTGAAATGAGTTCTCCTAATCGTCAGTAGGTATTGAAAGCCCATAAAAGCCACCTTCATTTTGCCCTCCAAAAGATTTATCCAAAATAACACATTTTGCCAAAATTCTGGCAAAGTGAAGACAGTTCCTACTGAACAGATAAGAATTGTTTCCAGTATGCATTTTGGGGTTGCACTTTCCATTGTGACTGGCATGTAAGTGTAAATTAATTTCTTGACCTGACCTTTGATGACATGTAAGAGTTTCCAGTTTTTTATTTATTCATTTTTACTTTTCCAGTCCAGTACATTGGGCAACAATTGTATAAAAAGAGAACCAAACAATGACATTGGGTCTGGAGGGACCTCTGTAGTCCAGCTGAATATTTTTTAGCTGGATATTGGTCCTTGTTCACCAATACCTCCGAGTTCTGCATCCATTGAATCCAGCTGACAAGGAAGCTATTTTATTTTTGGAACTGGAAACCGCATTACACAATGTCTGCAAGCTCAAAGAATCTGAGCTGCGGGAGATGTTTACACACCGGCAGAAATATTTAACTTTTTCATCTTTAGTCCAGTGAATGCCAAAGGGTCGTATTTAAAGAAAAATATAAGACTTTCAGGTCAATGTTTATTTCAGTTTCATATATTTTTGTTATATATATATTATATATATATATATATATATATATATATAAAAATTATATATATATATACAGTATGTGTATATATATATATATGTGTGTGTATATACCTCTCTCGCTCTCTCTCTCTCCCTCTCTATATACAACACAACCCCTGCCTTCTCCCCCATGGAGAGAGCCTGACATTGACCAACAAAACCCCTGCCCCCTCACCCGAGAGAGCCTTCCACTAACATACAACCCCCCACCCCCCACCTTCACACTCACCTTCACAGCTCTGGACAAACCTGGGAACAAGAGTCAGGTTGTGCATATGCCAGCAGTCTGCAGGCTCTCTCGGATCCCACCTGGTCCCCGTGACGCATGTGCCCCTTCTTCCGTGGGGGCGGTGCTGCTCCCCTGAAAAATGCCGCCCTAGGCAAATGCCTTGTTTGCCTTGTGGTAAATATGCCCCGGGTTGTGTGAACAAAATGATAAAATTTTAGTTTGGGTACAGAGTTGCATGACTGCGTAATTGCCATGCACTGTGAATGTTTACATGTTATATGCAATTAAAATAATGGCAACATCTAATGTTTGTGTTAGTATTATGTTCAGCAACATATAGTGTGAACCACATTGTATGCCCCAAAATCCCAAGGGGTATAAGCCATCTCTAAAGTGTGAGAGCGCTGACAGCTGAACATGTGCCTGGGCAGGAAGGGGGTAAAAGTGCCTGGTATTGAAGTGATTAACAAGGAAGCAAATTTAAATCTTTCACAAGCAGATTTACAATAATGCACAGTTACAATAATGCATTATAATTGAATTTGATTGCATCTCCATTGTTGTGACTGTTGTTCATAATAAATACACCGTTGTAGCCTGGCTTGTTATATGCTCACTGTGGCAGGTCGGTCTTTTTTCATGCTTTGCTGCACTTACTACTGTCTTTTCCGGCTTGATGTACTAAGTCAGCGTACAGTGTCTGCTCTGTCTGTGCTTCATTAATGGCTTGTGTGTGCACACCGCTACGATGGAAAATTAAGGGTTCCATTTTCCTGTGTCAAGCTAGCGTTTCCCCTTGGGGTCAGAAACCACTTCCCCCTCCCCCCCTTCACCAAGCAGTACAACAAACAGAAAGTACACAGTGCGTGTTCCCCTCCGTAACATCACACTGCACTATTACTGCCAGAGCATTGTCAGTGGAAAATTCTCTTCTAAAAAAAAACATATTGTTGCACAAATTAGGTTAACATACAAATTGTGCTTACTAAAACTATTCACTGTTTTAGTTACTTACAGAAGTAGGGGTGCAAGCAAAGCCCAACTGAACTTCTCTTGTGTGAAGACAAAAGGTATTCAAAGACTTAGGCTAAGTTCACACTAGCTTTGTCAGCAGGCGTCAGACAGGCGTTTGGGAAGCGTTTTTAACGGTTATCAAACGCCTATGAAAATTCTGCACATGGCAGCACACAGTGCTGTTCACACTGAAACGTTAGTGTTGTGTCGCGTTGCATCCCAGCAAAACTGACACCTCATGTCGAGTCAGGAGGAGTTGAACCCTCCCATTCAAGTCTATGGTGCCACTCCTCAAATGCCTGGCAGGTGTTTGCAACGTGATTGCGAGGCGTTTGCGGAGTGTTAATACCATTTAACTTCATTCTGGGGCAGCACAGTGGCTAAGTGGTTAGCACTTCTGCCTGGCAGTACTAGGGTCATTTGTTCGAAATCCCAACCACGGCACCACCTGCCTGGAGTTTGCATGTTCTCCCTGTGTCTGCGTGGGTTTCCTCCGGTTGCTCTGGTTTCCTCCCACACTCCAGACATGCTTGTATGTTAATTGGCTCCTGTCTAAATTGTCCCTAGCACAGTGAGGAACAGAAGTATTTGAACACCCTGCAATTTTGCAAGTTCTTCCACTTAGAAATCATGGAGAGGTCTGAAATTCACATTGTAGGTACATTCCCACTCTGAGAGACAGAATTAAAAAAAAAAATTCAGGAAATCACATTGTATGATTCGTAAAGAATTTATTTGTCTTGCACTGCTGAACATAAGTATTTGAACACCTAAGAAACAGCAAGAATTCTGTCTCTCAAAGACTTGTTACTCTGCCTTTAAAAAGTCCATCTCTACTCCACTCATTAATCTAACTTAGTAGCACCTGTCTGAGCTCTTTAAAGACATCTGTCCACCCCACAGTCAGTCAGACGCCAACTACTACCATAGGCAAGACTAAAGAGCTGTCAAAAGACACCAGAGACAAAATTGTGGACCTCCACAAGGCTGGAAAGGGCTACGGGGCAATTGCCAAGCAGCTTGGTGAAAATAGATCAACTGTTGGAGCAATTGTTAGAAAATGGAAGAGGCTAAAGACGACTGTCAGTCTCCCTCGGACTGGGGCTCCATGCAAGATCTCACCTCCTGGGGTATCACTGATGATAAGAAAGGTGAGGAATCAGCCCAGAACTACAAGGGAGGAGCTGGTCAATGACATGAATAGAGCTGGGACCACAGTTTCAAAGATCACTGTAGAACACTACCCCGTCATGGTTTCAAATCATGCATTGCACGACAGGTTCCCCTGCTCAAGTCATCACATGCCCAGGCCCATCTGAAGTTTGCCAATGACCATCTGGATGATCCAGAGGAGGCATGGGAGAAAGTCATGTGTCAGATGAGACCAAAGTAGAACTTTTTGGTCTAAACTTCACTCATCGTGTTTGGAGG